AGTTTCGGTGCATACTTCGTGGGAAATCGCCGCTTGATAATGTCCAGCATCTTCATGATGGTCACGACACTCACCTCTAGGCTTTGGAAGTGGATAGCATGACCATTTCCTAAGGGGGGCCCCTTTGTTTACCCAAGAACAGAGTTGGTTTTGCGGCCACCATGATCAACGACCACCCTCCAAAGTTTGTCAATTGGTGCCCAAAATGGTTCACACAAGGGAACTTCAGGGTGATGGCATGTGTTGTGTTCAAACCGTGTGTTCTGTGCACACACATGTGTGTGTGTGCATGTGTGCATGTGTGTGTGTGATTGCAGGCACTGGCTCTCTCTCTCTCTCTCTCTGTGCATGCATGCGCACGTGTGTGTGTATATGGATGTGTGCATGTGTATGTGTGTGCGTCCGTGTCTGGTTGTGTGTGTGTGTCCGGGTTTTTTGTGTGTGGTGTACATGGTGCAACGCACACCCCCAAATGCAGCCAAGTGCACATTCCGGCCAAGCTCCAGAAATTCCTCCACCACATCCATGATCCCAGATGTGGACCCTGCGAGCTTCCATAGGGCAGTGCTTTCACATGTAACACATGCATGCTACTGTTCAACACTATTCAGGTTGTCTCCAGGGTCTATCCTGTGTATGTTCATGTATGCATGCTTGAGTTGCTATTAGAGTCATCCAACACAACCTCGAAAACCTCGACTAATTAATCCCACGCCTTGATCAGCACACACACACAAAATCATTCGTGCCAGGTGCACTTGCTGACGTGCTTCAATTTCAAGGCTCGCTCTCCAAACTGGACTGCGGGGTGCAGGTGTCCGTTTTCACTACACGGTTGCTATTGGTAATGTATCATTCCTACATATAGCGACTTGTGCATAGTGGACGATGGTGGCAATGTTGTCACTGCCATCAAAATGCTTGCGCAGGCAAGCCAAACCCCAGAACTAGCATCCTGAGTGCTTTGGAACACCACTGGTGATAGGACTATACAAATGTCAAAGATTTCCGGCTGCATCAAGATTGAAGGGGTCAACTTGGATGGGATGTCCCAAGATCAAACGTTATAATAACAGTTTAAGTGACCAGGGGCAGGGCACAAGTTCCAGCACTCAGACTGCCAGGAAATCGCAGTGCATGACACCTATAAGGCTTTGGCTTCCCAGAAGGCTGTCCAACAGCACCACTTGATTTGTGACTATCAAGGTTTGAGTTGACCGCCCCTAGCATGGGATCCGTTATTCAGTTAATCACATGTCTAACTTCCTATGACAAGATCAATTGAACAGCCAAATTCCAGTGGCCAGAGCACTGGAACAAAAACTACATTAATTATCACTCGAGATCAGCAGCCTTCTTCTTTTTGGAAGGCCCCTTATGAAGGCTGATCCGGCGCTTAGCGTCTTTCACATTTGTTTCCACCGCGCTGACAAGCTGCTTTTCGTCAGCCACAACGGCTTGAAACATTTCAGCATCAACATCATCAGCCTTGTGGCTGACAAACGGCAGAAGCCTAGTCACAGCTGCCTCAGCCTTGGGAATGTCCTCCTTCAAGGCAGCAACCTTGGATTGCCCGATCAGCGATATAGTTGCATAGTCCCTATAGGTGTGTGTCATGCCAGGACCGGGTTGGAGGCACATGTAGTGGTGCGGTTGACGACCCTTGAATTTTGCAAACAAACCCACTGAGTGTGGGGCTAACTCCTTGCTGTTGGGGATTTTCATATCCATAATCTCAGTCACCTGGGCGGGGATGTCGCCAGCGAGCTTCTTGAACCTTGATCAGTGGAGCAGTTTGCCAGCGGAACCACGCATATTAGAGGCACAGCTAACTCTAGGAAAGAGGCTTGCCATGGAGCTGCTTCATGTCTTTGAGCGCCTTCTGCTCGGCCGTGTCCGGCTTCTTCACCTTCCTAGGATGCATTGCTATAAGCACGCCATGTAAACTTAAAAAACACAAATTCGTGACTAATTGGGAACACATGTCCAGATTTGTTTTCATGAATGTGATAAAGAATATTCTAGGGTTCATTCTGTTCAACCATCGTTATTTTCAAAGACCAAACGTTTTATCTGGGTGTCATGGAGGTTTTCTAGAAAGAAGGATGCCTGGAAAGAATGGGGGAAGGTATCTGTAGAAATATGGGCAACGACGGTTATGAATCCCATGATATAGTGGCAAGTCGATCCAGCAAGGCGCTTGGTAGAGATCTGACCAGTCTTGAGGTCCAGCATGCCATTCCAACAGTGAAGTCCTGCAGCTGCTTAGCCACCACGCTCTTGGCCTTGTCATCTCGCACAGCGCCCCCGATAGACGCCTGAGGCGATGTGACCAGTTAAAGCAATTGACCGGTTGGTTCGAACAATAGCACCTATATATAATGTTACACCTCCTTTATTAGAAGTATCCTCTATTGTGGCAAATTGTTTTCGCAATTCAGGATCTTGTGACTGTTTTTGGGGTCCTCAATAGTGGCAATTGTTTTTGCGGGGAAACATGCCGGAAAAAATCCGGGCAAGAAACAACTGGCCAAAAAAGTCAGGCAAACAAAGCGGGCAAACAAATCCGGACATATTTTTTGAAGTGGTCCCCAAACCATCAAATTTAAGATAACTTCTTTACAAAAAAGTGAGGCCAATCAATCACACAAAGCGGGTTGCCCACAAGAGCCCCTGATCCTCTTTAGTCTGACTGTTTTGGGGTCCTCTTTAGTGTCCAACTGGGTTTGGGGGTTGCTGAAAAAACTCTTCGCTAAATTAGAAATTGGCAATGCTAAAGTAAGTACTGGGAATCTGAGAGGGGGCCTTGGCAATACTAAAGTAGAATTGGCAATGCTAAAGTAAGTACTGGGAATATGAGAGGGGGCCTTGGCAATACTAAAGTAGAATTGGCAATGCTAAAGTAAGTACTGGGAATCTGAGAGGGGGCCTTGGCAATACTAAAGTAGAATTGGCCGCGCTAAAGTAAGTACTGTCCCTCCCAGACCCCCAGGAATTTCTCTAAAGAGGGTCCAGCAGACTGGCTCCACTGTTCAGGGAGGGGGGGGAGGGGGGTCGTGTAAAGAGGGTCCAACATTATATAATTGTATATATATATATATGGATCATTGTCACCGCCCATTCCCATGTTCACAGACCCAAACAAACCCTATAGACAGCCCAGCTACCATCTCAACGCCCTTCTTCCCGGAGCTTTTTGTCTCCACCACCTCCCGCAAGACCTTGTACATGGTCGCCTTCGCGCATGTCGGCGCCTGGCCCACAAGCTCGAATCAGCCACAACCCTAGGATAGTTAGTCCCTTTGAGAGCTCATGTTCTTGAAGAAATGGCCACCGGAAAAAGACGATGGATCAATAAATGTTGTTTCTGGTGGTCTGAATCTAGGGTACCAGTTCAAGCAACTTTGTGCGAGGGGCCCTAGAAAAGTCTAAAGCCCTCGGCCGACCCGCAGGCTGTGACACAACGAGCAGGCCTGGCCTGCGGATGCGGTGTTCCCTCCTGGCCTGGGATCAAGAAATTAGAAAAATGGTTTCGAAATATAGCTATAGCTCATATATATGTATTATATGGAACATGGTTTAACAGGTCTGACCTATCACACACTCACCAGCCAACTTCAATACAGGAAAACTCACAACACGTTTTGGGCGTTGGCAATTACCACAAATCCAGTTTTGAGGCACTTGGGGATCTTATTCTTAGTGGGCCTAACACAGGGCATACTTTGCACATTCAGATAGTTCACAAGGGGATCACCAAAAAAGAGCATACCCTGCATACGTGGATCGCCCCCATGGACCTCCCATGCCACATTTTTGGGGGCCGATCGGAATAAAGAAGCGATACAGTAGCAATCTCGACATGCAACTGATAATATCAGGTTAATGAATCCCCCGCACCTACGGTTGCCACAGCTTGGTTGCTAAGGACCCCATAAAAAAAGGGTTAGGATCGACCATGACTAGAATGTTGGACCACTAAAACGTCAAACCCGGGCAGCTTTGAGCAAGTGAGATAGACATGGGTGTGTCTCAAAATAGCCCCAAAAGGAAACCAACTG